AATGCAATCACACTCTGCTGAAGTTACTGCATGCAGATCTGTGCCCAGATGTTCAATAAAACATATAATTTTTCACTTTTTGTGTTCATGAGAGACTGTCCTCTGTATTTGTGCACTGCCAAATACATCCTACATTATGCTGGGTACCCAATCTTTCCTATGAAATAGTATGGAAAGATTATTTGAATTGCCCATAATTCAGGAAAACATCTGGGGAAAGTCCAACAGGGTCAAATTGATCAGAGATACATCAATCAAGAGGAGAATCCATTTCATAACCTGAATAATAAACTGAGACGGTGCTCTGGGATATTATCAAAGATATTACATATCTTTGATATATGAGGCATACATGAGGCACACCTAAGAAGCAAATGAGTTTTCAGCATGCAAAAAGAGAGAACGTGGAAAGGATATGACAGAAATCTAAAATCACAGTTGGCACAGCAGTCCCAGTAGTGATCCTCTATTCACTCTGTTTTCTGGAGCAAGAATAACAGGTCATCAAGTGAGATACTGGGAGACAGATTCAAACCCTAAAGAAAAGAAGTATGTTCTTCCTGTTGCAGACAGTAGGCCTGTAGAACCACTAACAAGATGATGCCACAGCTACAAAAATTTACATGGGCTGGACAAGACACTGACTAAGTACTTACATGGTAGATCCACGGAAATTACTAAATTGACACATCATAAGACCACCAGGAAATCCCTGAGTTGAAAATAATTTTGAATATAGGGCAACATTACAGAGAAGTACCATGTCTGCCCTACCCATTCCTAAGTGCCTGTGTATGGCCACTATTTGAAACAGAATACTGAAAGAAAGGGATCCTTGGTAAGCTTTTCTGTAGATATAAATGTAGAGAGCTCAGACTTGTGATTCTGTTAAGAACTTACCTTCCTTTGGAAATTAGTGCAATCTTTAGTTCAATCACAGTAATAGAAGAAACCAATTAATTTATGATTGCTTTTTAAGGTCAGACTGCTGGCCACTGCACCTGCACCATCTGAGACACCATCTGATGTCCTTCAGTCTCAACATCACTTTCTACACTACAATTAAGCTTCAAAGATGAAAAATAAAGGAATATCTTTTCCTTCAGAATATAGATTTTTATTATTATTCCTAGCAAATATCTTCAACAAAAGTGTAATATGCTTATAAATAGTAACCATGGATTCTGACATCTCAGAACACGCTCTGGCTAATATGGTAAAAACTGCTACAGAAGCTTCTCTCAGATTTTCTGATGTGTTAGAATACGAAGCATCCTCATAGTTCATGCAAATGCAAATATTGCAAATTTGCAATATTACTGCTCCTTTTAATAGCTTTAGAGAAGAGTTTAGCGTGTCTCCAGATAGTGGGTATACCAGTTATAAAACAACCAATTAAATAGACAGTTTTCTTCAAGGCAGCTCAAAAAATTGCGCAGTTAGTATTTAAGGTAGCCAAGGGCTAAACTAAACTAAATGTAGAAACACAGATAAACACCTAATAGAAGATTAGGCAAGGAAGGTGATACGGACACATCTTACAGGACCTGCACAGGGACCCTTTTCTACACAAATGTGGTGCAGTGACAGTAATACTTGAAAAGTCATGGCAGCCAGGTGAAGTCCCTTGTTACTGGAAAAAAGACATCACATCTATTCTTAAGAAGGGTAGAAAGGATGACCCATGAATTACCAACCTGTCGGTCTCACATCTGTGCAGGGAAAGATCATGGAGCAGATCCTCCTGGAAGCTCTGCTAAAGCACATGGAAGACAGGGAGGTGATACAGAAGAACCAGAGTGGCTTCACCAAGAGGAAATCTTACTTGACCAACCTAGTGATCTTCTATGATGATGTGAATGCAACAATGGACAAGGGAAGAGCCACTGATGTCATCTATCTGGACTTCAGTAAGGCCTTTAACATGGTACCCCACAACATCCTTCTCTCCAAATTGGAAAGACGTGGATTTGATGGGTGCACTGTTTGATGAACAAGGAACTGGCTGCAAGACTGAATCCAGAGTGGTGGTCAAAGGCTCAGTGTCTGGATGGAGACCAGTAACAAGTGGTGTCCCCCCAGGGTTCAGTGCTGGGACTGATACTCTTTAATATCTTCATCAGTGACGTTGACAGTAAGACTGAGTGCACCCTCAGCAAGTTTGCAGATGACACCAAGCCGTGTGGTGTAGTAGACACACCTGAGGGAAGGGATGCCATCCAGCAGGCCCTAGACAGGCTTGAGCTCAAGACTAGCTCATGAGGTTGAACTAAGTCAACTGCAAGGTCTAGCACGTGGGTCATGACAACTCCCATTACCAATACAAGCTGGGGAATGGAAGGATGGAGTACAGTCCTGCCAAAAAGGACCTGGGGGTACTAGTGGATGGGAAGCTGGACATGAGCAAGCAATGTGCCCTCACAGCCCAGAAAGCCAACCATATCCTGGGCTGCATCCAAAGATGCATGGCCAGTAGGATGAAGGAGTTGATCCTCTGCTGTATACTGGTGAGGCCTCACCTGGACCACTGCATCCATATGTGGAGCCCTCAGTACAGGAAAGACATGGACCTATTAGAGCGCGTCCAGCGATGAAGCACCTTCCCTATGAGGATAGGCTGAAAGAGCTGGGCTGCTCATTCTGGAGAAAAGACGGCTCGAGGGTGACCTGACAGTGCCCTTTAAGTATCTAAAGGGAAGCTACAAGAAAGAAGGGAACAGACTCTTCAGCAAGGTCTGTGATTACAGGATAAAGGAAAATGGCTTCAAACTAAAAAAGGGTGGATTTAGATTGGTAATAAGGAAAAAGTCTTTTACAGGGAGGGTGATGAGGTACTCAAACAGGTTGCCCAGAGACATGATGAAAGCTCTGTCCCTGAAGTCATTCAAGGCAAGGCTGGATCAGGCTCTGAGCAACCTGATCTAGCTGTGAATGTCTCTGTTCATTGTACAGGAGTTGAACAACATGACCCTTAAAGGGTCCCTTCCAACACTACGGGTTCTGTGATTCTATGACAGCAACTCTGAACCAGATCCTGTAGCGCAGAGCAACTTTGTGCCCAAGAACTCTTTAAGTTTGCTTGCCAGACTTTACTAACCTGAGTTAATAATCTCGGTTCAGCCGCAGTCAGCTTCAATTCTGTAGTATCCCCTGATTTTCTCCAGCCTTCTGGACCCCCATGCATGAGATTTGTACTAACAAGCTTGAGTTCAATCAGCATGGTCAATTCCACACAGAGATGGTTTGGCATCTCTCACATGACATCACATTTCCGAGGCTACTGAGGTGCTCAGCTTCAAGGCTGAATTCCACACTATATCAAGAGTTTGAGCTACTAGTTACAGCATACCCACTTTATCTTTCTCAATGCATTAGAAAGAGGTTGGCATCAAAGAGCAATTAGTTTTAAAATACGATAGATAAACAGCATTTGCTCTTTCAAAATCAATAGCAATCTCTACCTGCTCCAGAAAATCTTTTCGCGTAAATGCTAAGATTTAAATGATTGATGATTTGCAGACATTTGAGAACGAAGCAAGGATTCTTCTCGCTCAACACCTACTCATCATTATGCAGAAACAAAAGAAACTGCGTTCCTGAAAAATTACACAGCTCCTGCCAGCTTCTCATTTAAGATGCCGGACTTAAAACAGAAACAAATGGAAGCCATTTGGGGCTCTTCCTGAAATAGATACAAGAATTGGAACAGAATTATCATTGGTTGCTAAATAAAGGAAAAATCATAGTGTAGAAACTCTGGAATCATATTATCTTCACTTCAGACACTCAAGAGATTACTGCTCTAAAAAAAATAAATCTGGCCTAAATCTGGCTCAGAAATGCAATGGGCTCTTGCTTTCTTATATAAATGCTTACAAGAGCACAAGTACAATGGGTTGGGCCATGGAAAACATAAGTAAGAGGTATGTGGAGGTATATATTTGCTGCAAACACTCCTTTCAAAAATCTCTTTGCAAGACCTCACTTCCTTGGTGTTTTTTGTTTTTTTTTTTGAGAGGGGGCTTACTGTTTTAATACGTCCAGCTTCAAAAACACGTTGAATCACATAATAGACACATAATGCATAAACAAGCCATTAGATTCACACAAACGTTAGACATACACGTATAGTTGTCAATTCACACATTCAATCCAGAGATGGATATTAAATAACCTTTACAGAAAATCTTATCATTAGTGAATACATACACAACACACACTGAATTACTAGTTATTTAGAAGTTAATACTGGAATACTTTAGAAGGCTAGTTGACTAGAATTGGAAAATGCACTTTATGTCAAGGAATTTAAGGACACTGGCCACAGCACAACTCATTTATTTTCCTTTATTTTTGCAAGATACTCATACTATCTGTTGCCTAAAGTTTGTTGTAATTAATTTTGGATAGTTAATTGTGTAGAATGCCTGCCATCATACTCTTATGCTACGAAACAGATATACAGATATAATGTCTTTTCTGTTTTCAGAGGGGTGGGGAAAAGGTTTGCAATATTTGCAGCAGTGTCCCTTTAAGTAATCTTTTTTTTTTTTTTTTTGGCTGTGCATCCAGGGCAGCTAATAGTTTTATCAAATACCCTTCTCAGCAAGATGACTGTTTCCATGGAAACCACAGAGAAATCATCTATTACTCCTGCAAAGATTTCTCTCAGCTCTCTATTAAATACAGGTAGCTACTTTCTCACTTTCTCTCAAACCAGAACAGAATGGAGGAATACATTTTACAGACCATGTAACAGTTCATCTCCAAAGTATAACACTGCGGTGATGGGGAAAGTGGGACATAACATACAACACACCAGAAACCACATGCAAGAAAAACAAAGAAATTTTAAGAAAGGGACAAATTCTGTTAAATCTGCAACGTAAAAACACAGCTTGTAGAAGGATGGAAAACTCTTTCCTCGAAAATATGAAATGGAGAGGAGATGGAGAACTAGGCATTAAGATGAGAGTTGAACCCACAGCTCGGTCACATACCTCTCTCAGCATGTTGTTTTCTTTTTCCTTCTGTTCGAGAAGGCTCTCCAAGTGGTGCACATGCATCTCTGCCTCAGCCAACCGCCTTGTTCGTTCATGATCTTCCTCAGTGGCTTTTGCTGACAGACCTTTACTCTGCAGCATCTCCAGCAGCTTTTTGATGGATTCATCGCGTGCATTTAAGGTCTGTTTCTGTGTCTCAATGCGCAGTTCCATCTCTTCTAAGGTTTTACGTAGGAGGAAGAGTTCCTTGGCCTGGCGCTCATGCTCTGTGTGAAGCCGCTGAAAGTTTTCCTCTGTCAGCTCTGCCACAAAGGGCTCACTGGTTCTAGAGCTGCTGTCCTGCTGGAACAGTTGGTTCAGGTCCCGCTGGATCCGAAGTTCATCTTGAAGAGCCTGGATAGTCATCTGCATATGCTAGAAGAATAAAGAAATAAAATCAGAGGATTCCCTCCACTGAGAAATAAGGAGAACAATATGGGCCACTTCAGTCTTCCTCAACTACCAACAAAGAGAAAACTGTAGTGTTGGCAAGTCAATGTTGTTTTTTCAAAGCAGAATTTTAACGGTTTTCCATAGAAAATTCAAGTCCCTTCTTTTCCATATAGTAGAAGTTGTTTAATAATGGAAATTCTCACTCAAGTGACTCTCCCACTTCTACCAACTTAAGTAAATCACCTTTTCAAAAGGGAAAATATCAGTAGGCAAAAATTGATAGGTTTCCCCCTCCCCCCATCCCCCCTAGTATTTCTCTATCTTACAGAAGAATTCTGCATAAGATCTGGATGAGAATTACTGTCTCAGCAAAGCAAAGGGACTATAAAAATACATGTACCAGCTAATAACATGTAATCAGCCATGAAGGTCTTTAGTACCAAAACTACACCTAGCACAGACGTCCCCCACTTGACTTACAGATGAGATTAGATCATGTCAAAAATACAACTACAGAGAAATGGATATATGCTGACTGTGATGCACACAATTATATGCACGAGGACCTTAGTAGAGAACTGTTGCCTTACAAAGAGCAACATGCAGTCAATCAAATGATCAGCAGTCATTTGTGGTTGTGCAAGACAAGAAATTCTATCTCAGTGACTGTGCATACAGTAGTATAATTTACTGGGATAAAACAGGAGAAGTACAGCTTGCATGGGAAAAAGTCCCTACTTTATATTTACGTAAATGTTTGTATTCTTCTCTGTAAGACAGAAGTATTGACAGAAGTCAGTAAGAGACAAGTACTAAGACACTGAACAAAGATCAAAGAATTACTACTGATGAGATAACCACTGAGTGATATGTCTTTACACATTTCTTCTCATGTGGCAGACATGCTTAGAATCTTGTTTGAAAGTGAACAAGTCAGACGGACTGATCTCTAGGGTCTACATTTACATTACAAAAATCCGACATCGGCAATAGTTACTTCCAGTATTCCTGAGCAGTGAAGTATTAGTATTATCAACTGTTATCAAACAATGCAGAAGACACATTGTGATACTATGAAAACAAAGCAGAAAATATCATTTGCAGTAAACATATCTAGCTTTAAACTGTTTCAGAAATATTTAACACTTAGCTTTGTTATGTGGAAAGACACATAAAGGCAGTCAAATCTTATTTTCTTTATGAAAAATCAAGTTCTCCAGCTGGTCTAAAAAGAGTTTTCAAAACTTAAAATGCCGCTTCACAATCAGCTCATCTATGTCCACAGTGCTATTAAATGAACAGGTCAGCTCTCTTAAGTGGCTGGCACTCGGAACTGGATCAAAACTTCATCTAGCTGAATATGGGCTCCACCAAAACAAAGTCTATTCAGCCAGCTTTCTGATCCAGTTGATAATGTGACTACGCCAACAGGCACAAAGTAGGGTTGGGAATATGTAATGTAGCCAAGGAGCTGGTGGAGATGAAAGAGGAATAATTTTTTATGTTATCACCATAAAATGAAATCAGCTTAAAAGCGTAGCTTCACAAATGATTGAAGGTGCTGCAATTATCTTTTCTTCAGTAGCACAATACTTGGCAGACAGTCATGCTATTATTAAATTGAAACAATAGGTTAAAGAATGTGTGATAACTAAGCACAAGTTTATTATGCTAGAGAATAATTGATTACGCTTCTTAAATATGCATTTAGTTTATATATTGATAATCTATTGAAACAGGCTGATATATTATTAATAGATAACAGGCTGCTCAGGGAGGCTGTGGAGTCTCCTTCTCTGGAGATGTTCAAGACTTGCCTGGATGCCTACCTGTGCGACCTGCTGTAGGGAACCTGCTTTGGCAGGGGGGTTGGACTCGATGATCTCTGGAGGTCCCTTCCAACCCCTACAATTCTGTGATTCTGTGATATTGGTGGGTGCTAAGATTTATTTTCAGATTGGTATCAGTAATAGAAAAGAAGAGAAGAAACATCTCAATGGAATCAATCTGAATTCGGAAAACCTTTTTATCTATTTTTGTTTTGTTTTGTTTTAATAAAGATTTCTAATTTCATTTCTTGTCACTTCTCCAAAACGCAGTCCAAGTAAGAATGTCAGGAGACCTTGAAGCTTAAAAACTGAGGCACCACTGCAAACATGCCAGCATGCAGGTAGGCAATCAGAGCTACTACAATCTGTTCAATTAACGTACGTTGATCAAGCTGTGAAAGAAAATGTACCGTGCTCATAATAAGTTTGTCTTATCTGTACTATACAGCACCAATAGTCAGTAGGACTACATCAGCAGTGAGAAAACATCCTTAAATTTCCTTGAACTTAAAAATTGATAACCTCACCAGAACTGAACAATTCCACACAAGTTAATTCCATTTGCAAACAGAGCTTCGAAAAGCACAGCTTATCCAGAGCCCAGCTGCGTGTTGCTCTGCAGCTAACAAACAAGTTCCTACACGCTTCCACCTGCCTCTCCACATCCTGCCTCTTCAGCGTTTCCTTTCTTACAAGAGGGAAAAGAGCTTCTGAGCAACCACATCATCTACCAAATGAAATGACTTCCTCTACTCAGTGCTGTCTCAAAATCAAACTTGGGTTATTTATAAACATCAGTGGACTAAATCACCACAACAAAATTCCTGCATTAGAATTGCAATCAGCTGGTCTGCTGTGAAATCTCAATTCAGCTTACACAGGCAAATGTCATGTCTCATAGACCCACAAAGTTATGCCCCCAAAGCTGGGGAAGCCCCCATTAGAACACCTGGATCAAAAAACAAAAACAAAAACAAAAGCAGCCTGCTCTATTATTCAGAAATGGGATGTGAAATAAAATTCAGCAACAGTGACAAACAGCCCTTATGTGATCCATCAGTCTTAAGCAATGAAAAGGGAGTTAAAGAACACCCAACATAACTGGTAGGCAATGGCCTTGAATGCAGTTTTTAAGCAAAAATTAAGGAGTAGGGAGACAGGAGAGGTTAGCATTGACACTGCAAATTCCTATCGCTGCTCTCTGAGCTGCTCAGCTGAGAAGAAACTTCATTACGTGTAAGGTGGTGGGAAAATAAGCCACAGAAAATTATTCTGTGCTTCTGACACCCACTCCTTTCCAACATGAAAGAGGTATGCAAAATGAGTTCTTTTCTCTGCTTTCCAACTTTTTTTTTTTTCAATGGTTTCAGAATAATGGAACAATGTTCTTTATTAGTTGACATCATAAATAAACTAGTTTTTCAGATGTTCTGGCTCTTTCTTCCAAAACCTTTCAAACAAAACATCCTTTTCCCTCTGAAGGAGCAGACAAGTCTTAGCTTCTCATCCATTTCTCAAGCTTCACTTTTAAATCAGTGATGCTCCAGAAAGGCAAAAATCTTTTCCAAGTCTTCATGACGTTAGTCACTTAATCCTATTTCTAGAACCTTACCAGAGACCTCTATCAAACTTGAAAAATACTGTTGAAATGATCCCATCTAGAAACACACAAGTAAAAATGCCTTTACTACCATTAAGCTTGGTTACATCCTATTCTGATGGGTAAAGAACTGATCAAAGTCTTAAATAATGTAATAAAGACAATGTATTTAAAGTCAAAGCAATTATGTTCAATCTATGCTTTCCTGAAAGCTTACTGCTCTTATTTCAGACCTTGAGGATTTGCTGTTTTTTCCAGTAATGAAAGTCGGTCTTTAAGCCTCACTACAAATTATAACTACATCTGCAAATTACAAAGGTATTTTTGTAAGCATGGCTCACTAATAAAGCTATTTCTGGTTAGTGTACTTTCATCTTAGTACTACCGACCTCTATGATCACCTGAAATTTAAATCTTAAACATCCAAGGTGCAGGCATATTTTCTTACAAGGTGTTACACTGCCTCTATTACCTCCATGGGGCAATTTAAGGATTGCTAATTAGCACAGGAAATGGGGTTGCCTTTCATCCAGTAGCACAAAATTTACATCTGTAAGCAGTAGAACATGATTCAGTCTCCTTCACTGCCTTAAAGGTTTCAAATTCACATTTCCCACACCTTGGCATATTGGTTAGATGAATTTCCAACCTACTGTATAAACACAACCAATGACACAGGAGTTCCTCCTATCTGGTTCACTAAAAATTGCATTGTTGCACTCTCAGGGCACTGTAACACACTTCTTTCTATTCTGTTGAATTTGGGAACCTTGCTGCAGGCAGCTCTTTTCATCTTTCCACGTTGAAACTTTTCCATTTTGCATGAAATATTTAAAGATTTAGTAGGCCTGACAGAAAATACTGAGAGCACAATTTCATATTCTAATTGGTAGCACTCACCAGAGCAGAAAGACCTGAAGTGCAATTCTTCCAATTAATTTAAATGTTTGTCATCATCTTACCATTCCAAAGCAAGTGAGAGACGTGGATTTTAATGCAACCAGACAGAAAAGAGAATTTAGTTGGTATTTTATAGCCAAGACCCCCATTCTAGCCCTAAATTTTAGATCAAAAGGAGGCAAGCATTGCTACCAGCATGATTTTGAACAGAACAATTAAATTGTGACATACTTTTAAAATAAAGGATTTCCATATTCATCTTTGCAAGACAGAGCTTGACCTCCCAAGCTAAGATATTTCCAATAAGCATTTGTGTGCTTGTTTTTAATTGCCTGGTTTAGGTTATTCACACTGCAGACACTGTCTTTGTAGCTATCTTAACAAGATAAGTAACTCATCCTATTCAAGAAGGACTAAGTTAGAACAGTGGGTTGTGCAACAGAGGCGGTGCACGTAGGAACTGAACACTTCTGCAGTGAAGTTTTTCTTAATCTCTTGGATTTAAATTCTAAGTAGGTTAACCAAGGAAATTATTTGAATATTTAGGGTTAAAAAACAAAACAAAACAACAAAAAAACAACAAAAAAGCGAACAGTTTGTTCAAGAGATGCCTGCCAAGGATCAGCAGAAAGAAATGTAAGAACCCTGTCTTT